GGGGAGAAGCACACCACAGGGGAGAAGCACATCACAGGAGGGGAGAAGCACATCACAGGGGGAGAAGCACACCACGGGGGAGAAGCACACCACAGGGGAGAAGCACACCACAGGGGAGAAGCACACCACAGGGGAGAAGCACATCACAGGGGGGAGAAGCACATCACAGGGGAGAAGCACATCACAGGGGAGAAGCACATCACAGGAGAGAAGCACATCACGGGGGAGAAGCACATCACGGGGGAGAAGCACACCACGGGGGAGAAGCACATCACGGGGGAGAAGCACATCACGGGGGAGAAGCACACCACAGGAGGGAGAAGCACACCACAGGGGAGAAGCACATCACAGGGGAGAAGCACATCACAGGAGGGAGAAGCACATCACAGGGGAGAAGCACATCACAGGGGAGAAGCACACCACAGGGGAGAAGCACACCACAGGGGGAGAAGCACATCACAGGGGAGAAGCACATCACAGGGGGAGAAGCACATCACAGGGGAGAAGCACATCACAGGGGAGAAGCACATCACAGGGGAGAAGCACATCACAGGAGGGAGAAGCACATCACAGGGGAGAAGCACATCACAGGGGGGAGAGAAGCACACCACAGGGGAGAAGCACACCACAGGGAGGAGAGAAGCACATCACAGGGGAGAAGCACACCACAGGGGAGAAGCACACCACAGGGAGGAGAGAAGCACACCACAGGGGAGAAGCACACCACAGGGGAGAAGCACACCACAGGGGAGAAGCACATCACAGGGGAGAAGCACACCACAGGGGAGAAGCACACCGCGGGGAGCTGATTCAGGGTATCTGGGGCTCCGAGGTCTGGAGTCACCCATCAGCGCGCCAGGCCCTCCTGCATACAGAGCTTGTACTCTCGGGACAGCGCAGACCGGGACACGCCCGACCTCAGTGGGGAGAACCAGCCTGGGGAGGGACAGGGGGCCCTGGGAAGGGACAGGGGGCCCTGGGAAGGGACAGGAGGCCCTGGGAAGGGACAGGAGGCCCTGGGAGGCCCGCACTCCCGGCCGCTCCAGGAAGGACCCCCCCCCAGCAGTGAGCAAAGCGTGGCCATCAGGCTCGGGGCCGCTGAAGTCCCCGCCCCTCACCCCGCATGCACAGGTCTCCCTTTGGCCCCACCTCAGTGCCGGGCCACCGACGGCTTCCCGCAGGCGCAGCTCTGGACATCGGGTCACCCAGAGGCCCAGCTACAGCTTCAGCAACCCGTGCAGACCCGCATTTCTGCCCCCAACCTCCGGTGTGGCCTGTCTCAGAACCGGCCCTGATGTTTGTAAGGTCGCCGTCTGCACCGTGCACAGTGCCGCCGTGGACCTCACATGGCAGCTCTGTCTGCTGACTGACAAGAGTGTGCCAGGCCGGCTCAGGGCTGACCTTAGGCGTCAGTCAGGAACGGAGGCTGAGGGGGGCGGCAGGCTGTGCGCCACTGAGCAGGTCCCCGACCTCTCTGAACCGGCTTCCACGCCCGCGGAGAGGACAGAGCGAGCGTCCCGGAGTTTGCTGGCATCTTAGGGCACCGAGGCTGCTCCAGGCCGTTCCCTAAACCGCAGGAGTTTCGCCATTGTTTTTGTAGGTCTTTAAATTTTTTATTTTGCTTTTCCTTTGTTTTCCCTTTTGTTTGATTGTTTTTTTTTTGTTTGTTTGTTTGTTTGTTTTGAAACAGGATCTCAGCCGGGCAGTGGCGGCACACGCCTTTAATCCTAGCACTCGGGAGGCAGAGGCAGGCGGATCTCTGTGAGTTCGAGGCCAGCCTGGTCTACAGAGTGAGATCCAGGAAAGGCGCAAAGCTACACAGAG